AAAGTTTTAAGGACTAAAATGAAATATATCTTATATTAAAATGACTTGGTTATAATTTCTTGATTTTGAGGGTATTTTAGATAGTTTATGTTGGTTGAATGGTCAAAGGGTATTTTGGATAGGCTATTGTTCAAGAGAAATGCTACTCATCCCCACTGGGGATGCATCCCCAGTTTATGTGGAGTTAATGTGGTATTAAATGATATGTGAAATTAAATACGTCATTTAATTTCACCTATCATTTAACCAATCGTTTACATCCACATAGACTGGGGATACATCCCCACTGGGGACGAATATCATTTTTCATTGTTCAATTTGGGATATTTTCAATAATTTCTCTGCCCAAATCCTTCATCTTCTTCAAAAGGGGAAGGAATTGAGGCGTACATTGGCTGAAAAAAAACACGGAAACACTACCAGGCGCTTCTAGAGATGGCGATGGGGTTGGTGAAAAAAAGGCTGAGAGAGGAAGATGGCAATGCAGAAGGCAGTAAGGCGCATGGCCAAACTTGAAGCACGAGTGGCGCAGTTGAACTCGAAGGTACAAAAGTGGTAAGCAAAAGCACGGAAGCATGAACCACAACGATTTCTTTGTGAGCATAGTTGCAGCATGCTATTATCAATGGAGGCAGCGGGGAAAGACACGGAAATGAAAATGGATATACCGTTGTGGGAGAGGCGGAGGATGCCGAGTTAAGCTACATTGACTGGGACTAAGTTAGTGAGTTGACTAGATCAAGTTGTAAGGCTTGCCTGCGTCGAGACGCTACGATATTGGTATACAGTTCTGGCACTTTTGTCTGTCTACAGATTGTGATGCGATGGCCAAATCTTACCCAATTTACTTATGTAGAAGTTCTAGCGTTTAGGCATTGATTTGCTAGTGAAGGCAACTCCTGTAGCCATAGGAATTTCATCACCATTGAAAGCAAATCCTCAAGTACATTGCGCCTTTTGGAGAACATGTGCATTGAGCCACCCTTGCCTTTGCAACAACTAGTGGTCTAGCCAAAGAGCTCGCTTATTACAGCTCGAGCTGGGACCCCTTTGCTCAATTTGGTGCTGCTCCGATGGTCGATGGTGATTGAATTGTGACTTGTGATTTTCGGGGTGATGGTGTGGAATGTGAGTGTGTTGAAGAAGATGAATGATTTGGAGGGTGGGTTGATGTTTTTTGATTTGGAGGGTGGGGGGTAGGGTGGGGGTTAATTTAATAATTTTAAATATTAATATTTGATTGGCGAAATTGTCCCTATTTTAATTAGTCAAATATTCACTTATTTTATTTTTCAGGTCAACTAACAGTGAAACTCACAATTTCTGTCATTTTGAACTAGGTACTCATTTTTTAAAGGTTTGGAACATTTGATGGCACAAACTGAAAGTTAAGATAAACTTTACAAAAAATTCAAAAGTTTGGGACCGTTTCTACAATTTTCCCTAATATAAAACTAACATCTTTTTGTTTGGATTTAATTGTAATGGGATTACAATAAACAAAAGACGTGAATAATAAATTATTAATAATAAACTAGTTGACTTTAAGTATCATTAAATAATAGATAATCACATAATGTTGCATTATTTTTCTAAATTGGCATGCGATCATTTCTGATTTCTTAGGTTAGTAGGAGTATAACTCGAAATCAGTTAGCGGTGGCAACGAGCTGAGCCGAGTCGAGCCCGAGCTGGGAAAAAAAAGCTCGGGCTCTTTTTGGCTTGAGCCGAGCCGAGTCGAGCCCGAGCCAAAAAAAAATGAGGCTCGGCCCGAGCTTTAGGCCCGAGCCTTAGTGGGCCGAGCC